TTTTTCTTCATCTTATTCCTCAGTTTGAATTTCTTCATTTTCTAAAAAGTTATGGAGAAATATTAACAATCATTAACATGCAAAATAACAAATCAATACCTGTAGAAATAAGAATGAACGAGCGTTCATTTTTTAGAATAATTCTTTTTATGGAAGAAACTCTCCAGAAAATTTGTTATTTGTTGAGACTAAGTCCCTGATAATCTCCAAGCAAGGGGTATTTGGTCCTAATACTTTATCCATTTTTAATGTAAAATTGGGATTAAAATACTCCAACATCGTTTAGAATATTATTCAATAGCGAAAGCGGTAGATGATGTTCGAAATGTTATTAAGGGTGATATGACTCATGACCAAAAGAAACGGGCTACGACTATCACGATAAAAAAGACGATAGGTGTGAAGGCGGATGAATTACACCAAAAAAACAATATTTCTTCTCAACTCAATAATATGTAGAATTGTTACGGCCACATTCTCCAAGAGGTAAATAGCTACTTGTTATTTTGTGTTAATTGTAGATGTTCGAAACCATGATATAAATTTAAATATGGTCGAAAGGTTGTCTATATTGTTAAAGTTGATCATCCTATGAGCGCCACAATGTAGTCAAATAAAATTATTACATTTTGATATTCAAATTGATGTTCTCTGAAAGTCAGCCTTTATTTTCGGTGGCAGGTAGGAATAAACTTGAAAATTCTCTATGCAATGATTCATACACCCGAAATGCTGCACCTCATGAAAATATAGTTTAAACATAGTTCTATAATCAATATCGATATGATAAAAAAAAAGAAAAAAATTCTTAATTTACAATTTTCTTATCACCTCTGATATATGACGTCACTTGTGTTATGATAAATTGTTTCGTCAAAATATTTTTAATTTTTTTTTCTTATTAAAACGAAATCCTGAACTCAATACTTTTGAATCTTAAAAAGTTATATATGGAGTATTAACATAACTGTTGACGAATGAAGTAATTGTGATTATCAACACATCTTTGGTGGGGCAGGTGGGTATAAGAAAACCACATTTTGTTTGAAATTAATATGCGAGTAAATTGGTACAAGATTTCTGTGAAACAAGATGAAAAGAAAATTAAATATGCGAGTAAGTTGGTACAAAAGTAAATTTATATGCGAGTATATTGGTACAAAAATTTCTGTGAAACTTACAAAAAAATAGGTTTATTTGTGGGAGTTTGGTATCCGGAAGTTTCACAAGTTTCACAAGAGAGCAAATACAAGAATTTGATTGGGGATGAACATGGTTTTGTCTACAATTCTGGGCGGGTTAATAAGAAATAATAATTTTTTTTAATAATTTCAGCTGAAATTAAGATCAACCATATAAAATTCTTGATAAATATTTCAATGACTATATTTATTTAGGGAAATTTTCTTTACATGGTTAATTCTTTTTTTATTTAACATATATGTATATATATATTTTTTGATTTAAACTATTTAAAACTGCAACTTCCTTATCATTTGATCATCGGGTTTAATTTCCAATGTCCGAATGAAATAGAACTTTTAGCCAGTTGTACAAGACTTGAAATATTTATCATGACGATTTTTTATGGAAAAATAAAAATTGTTTTACATGACGCACCAATTAAAAATAAAATTATTCATTGATATCAAAAAGAAAAAATTTTATAAATTTTATTATATTTTGCTTGTAAAAAAATCTGGAAGAAATAAAATGTAGAGTTTCCGCCATTAAGAGTTATTGTACATATGATATATAATTAATTTAGTATTATCAATATATATACACTTTTTTATATGAAAATAAATATGGCTTAAATCAGATTTGTCATTAGCTTAGTATGGATTTCAATAATTTATAGAGATTGGGATTTTCGAACAAAGAGATCAAAGGGACGTGATACAAGCACGTGATTTTGGTGATTACGAAATATTACGCAATCAACACATGCGTCTTTTGATAATTTGATTGGAAGAGGAAGTGTGTTGTACTCCATGATGCTTCACAGAACAGAATAGCAAAAAAGAAAAATTCGGTCTATCAGATAATGCAAATTCGTGTGACAAAATTTGCAATCATATTTTTCCGAATAAAATTTTTAATTATAGTTATCATTAAAAGAAGTGGGGACGAAAAAAAGAAATCAAAAAAGTATTCTTAAAAAATTATTTACATGATACATATTTTATATTTTGAGATGAATAACATTGAAAAAAAAAATTTTTTTAGAAAAAATTATTATTTTTTTTTTTTATTATTTTTATTTACAGTATTTCACGCTAAAAAAATCAATAAAAAAAATACCGTCAAACTTCTGCCATTGGATTCTTTTTTCTTTTTTTCTAATTTGTTTATATTGATTATGTTTTTATTGTCATGATGCAGGTGAAATGAATATATCAAAACATGTATCAATTATTCCTTATTAATTATAAAAAAAAATTAAACTGACGACAAAATTTTGATAATCCCTCCGGATATATAATATTTACTGTATAAATAAAAAATTTATATTATTATCATCGGTATCATCGGTTTTATTCTGTGATACTTTAATTGCATATCTTTTTTAAACAAGTTTTTTTTTTTTGGACTCAAATTAGGATAATACATACTTTTTTTATTCATTTGGTTTTTCATTTAAAAACTTTAAAGACAATCAATTATTACTAATAAAGATTTATATTATTAGATTGTAAAACATACTTTTCTTTTTTAATATAATTAAAATTTCTTTGTTATCAATCGCTTAATCAATTTCTAATGTTTTTCATTGTGTGAGAAAATAATTTTTTTGATTTATAATTTATTGTTAAGAATTCTATAAATTATGTAATATTACCTTATCATTATCTAAAAAAATTGGCGTTTTTCGTTCGTTTCATGATTCGCATTTTCTGTGAAAAAAAAAAGGTTAGAATAAAATAAAATAAAAAAAATAAATAATATATTTAATATTTAAATTATAATAGATCGATTATTTATATTGTTTTTTAATTTAATGACTCATCATCGGACATTCGGACCCTTTTTTTTCATCAGTTCCTTCTTTTTTTCCATCAGTTTCTTTTTTTTCTATCAGTTCCTTTTTTTAAAAAAAAAAAGATTTTTTTTTTTGAATAATTTTTCTTTTAAAGTTACTCCTATCGCATTTGATCATTAAAGTTTAATTAAATAAATCATTTGTACTACCATCATTATTAAAAATTATTTACGTTTATTCATAATAATATTTTTCGAATAAATTATAATTATAAATTTTATTTTTTATTTTTTTTATATAATTATTTAACTTTTGAAACCAAAAATTTACAATGCGACTAACAAATATATTTCCTATATAAAAAATAATAAAAAAAAAAATTTTATAAGACAATTATGAAAAAATATATCTGACATGAAAAATTTGATATTATTTTTTTAAATTTTTTTTAATGGGAGTACAAAAAAAAATTTCTTTTGTTCCTCTTTCGATTACCTTTTAAAGAATTCATTTGGGTATCACGAAATGTCATACAATGAAACTACAAACAAATCGATTGGAGATGAGTATATGAAAGATGATGCACATATCCAAAAACAATCCAACAAATGTTTCCAAATTAGGATTAGGCTTACAAAACATCGATTTAAACCAAATATGATTTCATATAAATATATATCAATATTTCAAATTCGGAAAAAAATTCGACTCATCATTTTCATTTAAAGTTTTTTTTTTCTCTTTACGTGCAAATCTTTTTCAGCCCACTAAGAAATAAATAAAAAAAAAAAAAATGTAAATAAAACAGGTTTTTTTTTCCCAACCACCATTAGTAAATAAACCTTAAGTATTTTAATTAAAAAAGGAAAGTGCATATCTAAGTGGCTTATCTAAATAATTTATTTATTATTTTATATATATTTATTTACGCAATAACAATAAGTTTAAGTTTCTTTTCGGATCAAAAAATCAGAAAATTGGAAATATTGTTAAACTATACTAACTCCGTGGGAATAAAAATATTGACCTGCTGATAATTTGTCATGGTACGTTAATTGTACGTTAATTGCAGATAAAAAAATTGCAAGTCCTAATGGTTCCGAAAAATAAAAAAGAAAAAGGAAAATAAGTTCCTATCTTGATATTTGTGACTATACTATTTGTGGTATACTAAACCCATCTTTGATAAGATGTTGTAAAAGAAAAGAATAGAAAAAAAAAGTTCATGGTTTCATTGTTTTAAAAAATGAAAGATCTGCAGATAAACCATCGTAATACAAAAGTATACAACTGATACGTTATACGTTACCGCAGTTCATGAAAAAAATCTCACAAAACAAGTTTTTTTTTTTTTTACAATAAAAACAATATTTCGTATTCTTATCTCTTTTCTTATCTTTTTTTTCATTTAACCCAATTTGTTCTTTTTATTTAAATGTTTACAGGAGAAAAAAAATTGTTTCAAGATTGATAAAAATTTCTTGATATATTCAAAATCATGTTTTTTAATTATTAATTCGTGATTATTCTTTATTATTTGTAATCCTGTAAATATATTATATGATAATATAATAGTGATCTAATTTATGATTTATATAATTTTCTCACGTATATGCGTAATGCGTTACATGCATTTCAATGCGTTATATTAAAGTTTTTTGAATGATGATGAATTATTATTATTGTTTATTATTATTATTATTATTTTGATATTTACAGTAATCTCCAAAATAAGGAAATTGAATAAAAGTGCATGTCAATCAATCAATTTATAGTTCATTCATCGTTTATCAATTTTCTTCAAAGATAATCTTTACCGAATATATAAACGTTAAAATATTACTTATAAAATTAATAATGATGAAAATAGTTATAAATAGGCCTTACAAAAGACCAAGGGTTTTTTTTTTTTTTCCTCAAAAACAATAAAAAAATATTAAAAATAATTAACTTTTGATCATATTAAAAACAATACAAAAAAAAACAAAACAATCCCCAAATTTTTTTAATAAACGTAATGGAATCAGTCTCATTTTCATCGGATCATACTTCTTATGATTGTTGTATTTATCAGTATAATCAATATCAACAACATCAACAATACCAATTATACCAACATTGCCAACAATATCAATTAAATCAACATTATCAACAACCTCAACCCCAACCCCAACTTCAATACCCTCAGCATCCTCAACATCAACTGCCTCAACAACCCCAACAACTTCAACAACTTCAACAATTTCAACAATTTCAACAACCTCAACAATTTCAACAATTTCAACTACCCCAACAATTTCAACAATTTCAACAAGAGCCTCAACAAGAGCCTCAACAACCTCAATATGTTCCTCAACAACCTCAACAGCCTCAATATGCTCCTCAACAACCTCAACAACCTCAATATGCTCCTCAACAACAACAACATTATCAACAACAACAACAACAACAACAACAACTACTATTCCAACATCTTACCTCCAGCACTATGACAACAACGGTAATTACAAATGACGGCAATCGGTACGATCTGGAGGCCGTATCGATCACTAATGGAGTGGCTAATTCAGCAGCCACAATATTAAATAATCAAGAAAATGTGAATACCGTTTATGTAAACGGTATTCTATATAATCACTTTCATTTTATTACCTTTTTTTAAATTTTTAAATTTTTTTATTTTTATTTTAATTTTTTTTTATTTTATAAATTAATTTATTGTATTTTTTATTTCAAAATAATAAAAATAAAAATTTCGTTTATTTAAAAACAAGCCAGTATTTTTTGAACTGTAAACTGTAATTCTAACTGAAATTGTTAACGTATTACCAAAATAGCTACAGTAATGCCTAAAAACTGCGCCACAAATCGATCATGTGAAAAATTCTTTTAACCAAAAAAAATGGAAAAATTTCACAATCGGCAAAACGTTTATATATGAGAATACAGCGCGTAAATATTTTAGGAATCTGAAAGGAAAGATTTTTTCTTTTTTTGTATATTTTCTCTTTGAAAAATTATGAATCTTTCTTTAAAAAAAAACAGGTTAAATTTTATTCTCCACTATGTATAATACGACCATAATTACCCAAATAAATTCAAAATCCAAGCCATTGTATCTTTGAGTATGCCAAATACTTATGAGGCACTAATTGTTTGATATTTGGTAATTTTCAAAAAAAAAATTAAATAATTTATTTGCAACTTGTGATTAATTTTTCACTTTTGCATCGCCGCTTCACCTTACATAAGTCACATGATGTGTTACACAAATTTTTTGTATTGTTCAATTACTGGCCATTAACTATTTATTATAATTATTTATATGATAAACTAATTCTAACATTTATTTCAAGAAAAACAAATTATACTTAGAAAGCTGTTGTATCATTATTATTATGAAAAGAAAGGATGGATGGTAATTATCGTTATAGGAATTAAAAAAAGAGAATTCCATATACACTTGATTAGGTGATTCATTATTTGTGTAGCTATAACTGATTTTGAGCTTTTTTCCTATATCTTACACTTCTTAGTAGTTTAACAATTTCCAGATAATTACAAGGTTTTTATGAATTCTAATTATAATTCAAAGTGATACCGTCTATTTGTGTCACCGGTACCCACGTCCATCATTTGGACTATTAGTTTAGGTATAGAATGAAATTTAAATAAAATAAAGAAGCGCCAAGAGAGTTTTATAAGTTATATAATCAATGGAGTTATAAGGCAGAATTTTTATCCTTGGACATGTGTCGATATTATAGATTTAATAATTCAATGGAAAAAGTTGATTGGTGTCGTTCAATCAGAATTATCATGAAAGCTTTTAATGATGAAAATACAGATAGGAATAATTTTGATAATGCTTATAAAGTCAAAAATTTTTTGGAAATTTTACCTGTGGCGAATTTATTAAATAAGCGTAATCCAGAATTATATCAAAGTGGAAGATGTATACGTTGTAATTACACAATTGAAACATGGACACATATCTGGATATGTAATAAAGCAGATACGTCTATCATTCAAATAATTAATGCAGCTTTTGAAATTTTAAAAGCTAAGTTAGATGAAAAAGATTTTAGGATACATTATAATTACCATGCACGTTTACTACGTATTTTGAATGAAAAGCCGAGAGTGGTTTTTAATGGTAGAATCTTTCATGAAGCCATTAAAGGCATAGTTAATGAAAGGTTGTTTTTGGAGATGGAGGATAAATTTTTTAAGGACGCTATAGCAAGTTTTGTAGAGGATATACATGATATGGCCAGAAAATTCATGTGGAGTGAGCGTTGTAAAAGTTTTAATGAATGGGAAATAAAGCAGGGCATAACGAAACAAATGAAAAAAAGTGAGTAAACTGTATAAATCTTCATTACCTAGCTTGGGTTATGATGAGAAAAAGAAAAAAAAATTTATTTCTGATGTTTTGCAAAGGTGGACAGGGTATTATATTAATAATGATATAGCAGCTAAAAGTATTTGGTATGAAATAGGTGTAGAAGATTTATGGAAATATAATAGTTTAGTTACATTTAGATCTTCTAATTATGCTTCTAATTTTAGTATTCTAGATTAGTTCGGTTAGTATAGTTTTTTTTTTTTAGATAGATGCTTTATTAACAGATGTTTACGTCTATATTATAATAGGTTGTTTTATATAATTATTATAATATTAATAAAGTTTTAAATTGGAAAAAAAAAAAAAAAATTTAAATAAAATCGTAAAAAAACAAGTGAAGATAAAACGAGTTTTTACTTCACATATTTAAAAAATAATAAAAAAATATTATGTTAAATTTCTATTTGTGTAGTGAGTATAGTAAGTATGAGTTGAAAATATGCCGCATAGTAAACTTTTGGGTAGTGCTCCTTCCGGGTCAAGTCGGGTCGGGTTTTGAGGAAATATTCGACCCGATCTGAATAAAAAAATATAAGACTCAGATTTATTCGGGTCTCATATTTTCGTAACCCGACCCTTGACTCGACCGAGTATAATTTAACTCGTGTAACCCGGGTTAGACCCGAACATTTAAGTAAAATGGGTACTAACTGAGGATTTCTTATAATAATAACAAAATTAATTTCCTTTTATTTGAAAAAAAGGTGACTTAGTGATTAACCACTAGTAGCCACCTGAAATTTGTATCATGAATGGTTATACAAAACATGTAACACTAGCTCTTATTTTTCTCCTTGACTAATTAACTAAAAATACGAATTTTGAACCTGGTTTAATATACTGTAATAAAAGTCAAAGAATTAGGCAAAATAATTAGCAGATATTCAAATCAAAGATAAATTGGAATTCTAAAGCTATCAGAAAAATATTATTCTCAAAAGCCAAAGGTTAATTTTTTTATTTTTCTNTTTGTTAAAACTAATTCTTGGCTTAATTTTGGCCAAAATTATAATTTTGCCAGAATTAAAAACATCCGGGTCGATCCGGGTCAAACCCGGGTCAAGGAAATTTATGACCCGACCTGGCGGGTTGGGTCATGCGGGTCATGCAGGTCACGAGTCATTAAAAATCGTTAGTACCGACCCGATTTAAAAGTCGAGTCAGGTCAAATTAACCCGGGTCGACTCGTATCGTTCGGAGCACTACTTTTGGGACTATTAGCCGAAAAATGGAGCTGAATTCCTGATTGCCGATCATCCGGATCCGGTTTAATCACAGAAAATCCACTGGAATTCCACGACGATCTACGCCTGAGCCGGGTCCGGATCACGTTGCGGCTAATTATTTTTCGGCTAACTACACCATTATTGTTTAAAAAGGTGAAATCATCTAATTAATAAATATATTAAAATAAAAGAATAAAAAATATAATTTAATATTATTTGGAAAAATTATTTTTGGTTAATACTTAATATAATTGATAAAAAAAATGTATAGTTATGTTGAAAAAATTATCTATTATTATATGAAAGTTCTTAATCGAAGCTTTTATTTATATAAATTCCATTAATTTTTGTCAATTTTTTTTTTTTATTTTATAATGTTACAACGATATATAAAAAAAATCAAATGTTGATGTATAAATCAAACCGTAAATTAATATTTTATGTTTGGTTTATATTGCCATTTACCAAATCTACTGTATAAGTAAAGATGGAATCTGTATCCGTGCGAGAAAATAAAATACGTGTTCACAAGATAAATGTTTGAAACAAAACAAAGAATATTTTTTTTAAAAAATAAACAATAATTGAAATAATAGGTTAATTATTTTACATAAAAAAAAACTTATAAACGTCATCGTTGTTGTTTATTTTTACATCGCCGACGACTTTCATGATGACTCAGTAGATGAGGATCCATCATTATCAGTTAGGTTCTAATAGTGTTAACTTAATAATGAACAATTAATTAATCGATAGTATGCTAGTTATCATTCTTTTATTAGATTTGACTTTAGATTATCTATGGAATTTTGTAAGAATGATAAAAATAAATAATTTAATTATATATTAAATGTTAGCAAAAAAAATATACAGTATATATATTTCGTCACTAATAACGTGACAAATTTAACGTGGATATCACGTGATTAATAAGGCAATCCCGCAGAAAGAGGGTGACATTTTGGCGTAATTCCCTAATTGTCACACGTCAATCGTCCCTAAAATTTATAATATACACCAATAAAAACAGTACGCCGACCACGTGAAAAATTGTGACATTATCGAAAATTTATTTATATTATTTTACTTTAATAGTTGACTACACTAAAATAAAATGAATAAAATTTTACTTTAATAGCACTATAAATTTTAAATAACAAACTATGTTGTTTGACAAATTTTTTAATAAATTACTTCCAAATTAACTCTAGTCCTACGGGCTTACCATATTACTTAATAAAAATTTTGAAATCCTTTTTACAGATATTTTTTTTTTTGCACCATGCGCAGCAAGTATAATCAACACCCGGTAAACCTGGCATCATAAATTGCTAAACGTTAGCTACACACAGAGGCGCAGAACGTGATCAATAATAACTTTCCCGAAAAAATTCCGTATATTACATGATTGCAGAATTTTTTCAGGTGTTACTGGGGTCGCTATCAATTGTTGCTTATATTGAAACTCTCCAAAATAAAATGGTTCAATGTTATACATAACCAGTCGACTTATTTAATAATCCAAAATCTTAAATATTAGTAATATTTGAATAATAATTGGTAGTTTAAACCAAGTTAATCAGAGATAATACTTGCACGGAATGATAAACTAGTGTTCCGAAAGGGTCGGGTCAAACCCGAGTTGACCCGACTTGTATTTAGGAGTCGGGTTGGGGTCGCATGATTTGATGACTCGTAACCCGCATGAACTCGACCCGACCCGTCGAGTCAGGTTACTTTCTATTATATTTTTAACTAAAAATTTCAATTTTAAATACAACTTGACGGGTCGAACCCGGGTTATCCGAGTCAGACTATAGTCAAGTCAAGTCGAATCCGAGTCGTTACTTTTACACTCGGGTCGAGTTCGAATACACCTCAAAACCCGACCCGACTCGACCCCTTCGGAACACTATCAGATAAACTAAGTAATTAAAAATTCTATATTTTCAGTATATACTTATTAATATATTAAATTCTGTTTAAATTCTCCCTCAAATTCATCTTAAAAATCTATTATATTCGAATTTTTCAACTATTCTTCTCGCCTCATATTTTAAACTATATATTTTTCTAAGTTATTTGACTAAATTGTAATAACGTAGGATGCCTACCTTCCCATTTATCAAAGGATAATTTTAAAGATTTGATTTAATATTATTACGAAAATAACCAAATCTAAATAACTTTTTCTAATGAAATCCTAAAATAAACAATCCAATTAATTGTTGAAATTTTTCTAATTCTAAAAAATACAATAAAAATTATAGAATACCATTAGATCCTTTTAAATTATGTAATTAAAAAATTATTTAACTTTTAACAATATTATTATTAAATAAAAAATATTGTTACAAAAAATTGATGTTACGCGAAAATAAGGTGATAGTCAGATGATGGATGATGATTTTAAAATTGTTATTTAGGAAGGAGATTTTATTCTGTACGTCTTATTGAATCCAGAATTTTTTTATTGGACAAAATCATATTTGTTACAAATTTACATTTATTATTAATTTATCGTAAAGAATCAAAATTTCAATTTAATAAGCATTTTTTTTTTTTCAGAACGTTTCGACATTTATCTTATTACATCCTGTTTGATATACAGTATACTTGTATTATTGAATTATTTTTTCCCTCATATTATTTAATCAAAATATTACCATAGCTTGTGAGTGAGACTATTGTGGTCAGTGATTACACTTATATCACAATTAATCACAATAGAAAACATCGTTAGTATGATGTTACAATACTTCATATTTTCAACGAATGTTTATCGGTTGGACGTGTTTTGATATTTAAATATTTAGCTTTATTTATAAGCAAATAAAAAACAATAAACAAAATAAATCAACCCTAAAGTTAAATATTAACCTATAAACTCTACAATAATACTAATATTATATGCCTTCATAAACACCATGTATATTATCAAATTCCGTTATTTTAACCCCTTTAGCTTTAATACTATTCAATAACATTGATTCCTCATCATCCCATTGTCTATTCAAATTAATCAAACCAAGAATTTTTAAACTATTGTTACTTCTTTCAATATAATTTAAAACAACTTTAAGAAAGTCTAACTTAATAACGTTATTCAAACTAATTATTTCAAACTTATTATGACAATTTTTTAAAAATTCCTTGAATTGGAAATTCTTATCACGATTATAGTAATAATAAATAGAAATTTTACTAATATTAATAGGTATATTATTTGATAAATTTATAAAAAATTCAGCATCATATGTAAAAATATAAAAATTTAATATTCTTGTTCTTAAATTTCTAAAAAATGGTAACACTAAACGATTAAAACTTAAATAAGTTCTTATTTCTAAAAAAATAAGATTTGAACAATACATTGATATATTTTCAATAGAAAGAATTGTCGGATTTCTAATTAATAATCTTTGTAATGATGCACCTAAATATTTGATCATTAATGATGTGACATTAGCATCCCAACTAATGCGTACAAATGATAATTCCTTGAGCTTAAATTGAGCAAATTTTAAAATCTCACATTGATCTAATGATATACCTTCACAATTATCAAATCTTAAATACTTCAAATTATATAAATTATTAAAACTTTTTAAACTAGCATTACTAAAGTTAGAATTTGTGAATTCAATATTAACTAAAGAATTCTTTTGAAATTCTAAAGACAAAAGAATATTATTTAATAAAGAATGACAATCCAATATCTTAAATTTTTTAAGTTTGTTTTGCTCTTGAATAATTGTACAAATCTTTTCAAAAGTAGTAATATCGACAAAATTTTTATAAAGATTAATTATTAATTCTCGCAAATTATTCGCCATATTACTTAAAAATTCTTGTTCAATTTTATTATTACTAGTTGTGCCATTTAAATTTAATGATAACGAATTTAATTTTGTTAAATTTGATGTGAAATTTTTAACATTGAAATTTTTAAACGCTTCTCCATAAAATAAATATGTCGAAATATCTAATTGTTTGATGTTTTTACTTTGACGTAAAATTGATTGATGAAATATTGGAATAATATCATATACTTTATTATAAGGAATCAATAAACCTGAACAACATCTTACAAGACAACTATCAATTACGTTATCTATTGTAACATAATCATAGTTTTCCAAATATTTCGGATATTCAAATAATGGTTTGCATTCTTCATCCAAATTAATATTATTAATTTGGTTTAGTTCTAGTTTATTTTTCAATTGTAAAATTTCTTCTTTATTAAAACATAAAATTAAGGTCGTGATTATCGAGTACTTTTCTTCAGTTATATTTATAAAAGGATTTGCATAAAGTAAAGGAATCGTTGATTTACACCAAAATCGATTAACTAATAAACAATTAAATAAAGTTGAATGATTATTTTTAAGATGTTGTAAAATGTAAAAAATACAATCATCTGTTAAATAAGGTAAAGTCATCTTGAAAATTTTAGGAAGGAAAGAAAGTTTTTTACGGAGTATCGGAGTAAATAAGTCATTATAAGCCTAATTTTGGATATCACACGGTTGTACATAAATTTTGTAACATTCAGGTAAACCCTGTAATAGGTGACACACTGACACTACCGTAATGATTTTCTCCAAATTTTCTTCGTTATGTATTTATATCAAGTTGAACTTCGGTTGTACAATAATTTGTAGTAATAATTGATATTCAGTAAATGATAAAATCATATATGGCTATAGCCGCTTTGTCCGATTAACATGTTGGCCCGGAGAATAAAACATAGCAGACATGAAAAATAGTTCGTAAAAACAGGTCGATCTTTTTTGATGAGGCCTTGTCAATATTTATACTGTACGTCTGTCAAATTTAATACTGCCCATATATCAATTATTTTTTTTGTATAGAATTAAACGGCAATCCCGATTCTTAGATAAATTATAAATGAATTTTTTTGATATAAGTAGCCTCTTGTAACGATAGAAAAAATGTGTCCTGTAATTAATAAAATTGATATTTTTACCGACTGTTCTCTAAGCTATCTTATTGTACCATTCGTATATAATTTGAATTTCCAACTTAAATTTATCATTTCCTTATTGTTAACCGATTTGTGTATATTTTCGTTGGGGATTGGTCGCTACAACAGGCGCGCCGAGAGAGACAGTATCAACAGATAATTCGAAGAATTTTAATACAACTCGTTAATTTTATCCCTCTATAACTTTTCGTTTATCGCCCGTTTCTAGTGGTAACAATATATAGGGTTTGGATAATTCTTTTATTGCTAATATTATCATAATTATTTAATATATCTCCACCGTATAATATGTAATTTAATTGGATAAAAATAGATTATATTTTAATGACTTGAGATCTTTGGTGTCGATCAATAAGTCCGATAAATAATTAACATAAAAATATATTGAAATTAAAATATCGATTATAGAATCAACTATTTTTTTTTTTAAATTTTTACAAATAAGTCAGTCGAGTCCATTATTTAACTATAAATCATCAATACACAGATGATTTACTGTATGTGATTTAATAATATATGATCACCTGAGTGGGATGAGCGTGCATTTAATCACATGCACATGTCTTCTGCAAAAACTGGAATAAGAATATTTTATTTAGTATAAAAACAATTGCCTATTTACAACTTGTAGGGGTAATAGCCACCGGTCCTAAAAGACTGCGGATCTCTTGGTCCTACATTTCAAAAAAAAAAGAAATGTATTAATTTATTTAATAAAAAATTACATCACTAGACGAACTTACCTTTCAAAAAAAAAACTCTGGTTCGAGGTCTATCCAATTATCAAAATAAAAAAATAATCTGTTTAAATAATATAAAAGACAAAAAAGTTGTTACGCAAAATTTATCTCTTCATCTAAAACCTTCTAAATAAAAATTTCAACAAAACAAAAAAAATGGGATGTAAAGCTCACAACCGAATTACTAATAAAAGAGGAAATCCAAATAACAGATTCTAAAGAATGAAAATCCTACCTTGCTAAAAAAGATGTGAAAATGAAATCAGAGGTTCTACTGCGCCGCGACCGACCGATGACGGCAGTATGACGGCCAATGACACCCACTCAGGCGCAGTGGGTGCCTTTGCTCTGAGCAATAACTTATTCGGATTAGATCAGCATATAAAAAGATTCTTTTTTTTTGCCTTCTGCCATATACCTATTTATATATTTGCTTGGAGCTACGCCAATGTCGGTGTATAGCAAGATCAATTTATGAAGGAATTGTTTTTTTTCCGTACAGCAGAAATTATTCAAAATTTAAAAAAATTTTTCATAAAGAAATTCTTGGTTCAACATAAATAAATTATAATAATTAAACTTCCTGCATGAAAAACTTTTGTATAGATATTGTCTGCTACCGTGATCCATTTAGAAGGAAAAAAAGTTTAATTATTCATGCATCTACTGGAATATTCATTCCGAGATGCAAAATATCTTCTTGACCCTGTGCGATACTCCTTCTTAACATAGTCTACTATATATAAAATAATATGTGCGAATCAAGTCAGTAACACAAGGAGGGTTCTAAGATACTCACACGTCACATTTTACGCCTCGGAAATGATTTAACTTATTCGGATTAGATCAGCATAGAAGTATTACTGTCGGGCGTATATGTCATCAATTCTATGAAAATTCTTGGTGTGACTTTAAATGAATTATAAATATCGAGTTTTGTTAAATCGGACAATAATTTTAATATTTCTTACCCGACTTATAATTATGTAATATACCGTTTATTGCTACAAATTATTTTTTAAATCTAAATTTGTAGTGTAGCGATAAAGTCGTTATACTACAAACGATTTAATTTTTTAAAATTACTTCTAGTGGACAAAATCATATTTGTTACACTTTTACATTCTTTAATTTTCGTAAATATACTTGTAATTTAAAATTTTGATCGAATTCTATCATATAAAGCGTTCAAATATTTTAAATCTAAATTTGTAGCATAGCGATAAAGTCGTTATAAACGACGTTTCTTCACATCATCACACTTAGTTTAACACTTATTTTCCCGTTATATTTCGCATACATAATTACACTTATGATTACATACGTTTATCATCACACTCGTTTGGCAAATATATTGAATTATTTCCCGTTATACTTACATACTTCACAATTTCCAAATCGGTCTGATTTATATAGATCAAATTTCAATTTTTTCTTACTTGAGGTAAATTATATTTTAATATTGGCTGTATTAAATTATATAATGGGTTTGGTAAACTCAAAATCCCAAGGTACAGTACATTATCCCGACACTAAATCCGAAACGTCAAAATCCCGAATTGCCATAATCCCGATGACACTTCATAAGCTTTATTGTTAAAGCTGTTAAGGAATAGATTGTTAACAAAAACTTAACAGTTCAACAAGTAATTAAAACAAGCGGACGTACTTCTTGCTTTTTATACTTATTTGTCATAATAATAAACAGGGTACATATAAATAAACTTTTTTCATAAAATGTATAGACTTTGATTAATTTAATAAAAGCATTCCATTTGGAGAAAGATTTGAACTTCAAGAATATTCTTTCCAGATGTAAAAATTACCTTCTTGACCCTTTACTATTCGCCTTCTTAACCTACTATATGTAAAACAATATGTGCGAGTTAGAAACTTCTAAGATACTCACTACATGAAATTTTACTTACGTCACTTTACGCCTCATTCAAAAATGGAATGATTTGAATTGAGCACTTACTATAGAATAAATATCAGTAACATAATGTCTTAATCGTAGAAAAATCTTAAACTAATCAACAACAAATATGTCCTAATATAATACTCCTGTACGTCTTATTAAATCTAGAATTTTTTATTGGACAAAATCATATTTGTTACAATTTTACATTTATTAATTTATCGTAAAGAAATCACACTCGAATTAAAATTTAAATTGAATACACAATTTTTTTTTAAGAACGTTTCGACGTTTATCTTATTACATCCTGTTTGATATATACTTGTATTTTTGAATTATTTATAGATTATTGTGGTCAGTGATTATTACACTTATCACAATTATCACAATAGAAAACATCGTTAGTATGATATCGGTTGGACGCCTAATGAACAAATATTGAGATTAGTAAAATCTTTAAATATCAAAACTGATTTAAATTCAACGAGTGTAACAAAATATAAAAATTTGGCTTTATTTATAAGAAAATAAAAATAATAAACAAAAACAAATAAACCCTAAAGTTAAATATTAACCTATAAACCCTAATACTAATATTATATGCCTTTATAAACACCATATAAATTATTAAATTCCATTATTTTAATCCCTTTAGCTTTAATACTATTAAATAACATTAATTCCTCATCATTCAAATTTTTATTCAATTTCTTCATACCAAGAATTTTTAAACTATTATCACTTCTTTCAATATAATTTAAAACAAGTTTAAGAGAGTTTAACTCAATAATACAATTTAAATTAATTACTTCAAACTTATTATGACAATTATCTAAAAATTCCCTAAATCTGAAATACTTATTAGAATTATGATAATAAATAGAAATTTTACTAATATTAATAGGGATATTATTTGATAAATTTACAAGAAATTTATTATTATATGTAATAACACTAAGATTTAATATTCTTGTTCTTAAATTTCTAAAAAATGGTAACGCTGAACAATTAAAATGGGTATCAATTCTTATTTTTAAAAAAATAAGATTTGAACAATACATTGATATATTTTCAATAGAAGAAATTGTCGGATTTCTAATTAATAATCTTTTTAATGATGCACCTAAATATTTGATCATTAATGATGTGACATTAGCATCCCAACTATTTCGTGCAAATGATATTTCCTTGAGCTTAAATGGAACAAAATTTAAAATCTCACATTGATCTAATAATATACCTTTACAAGTTACAAATCTCAAATACTTCAAATTATATAAATTATTGAAACTTTTTAAATTAGCATTACTAAAATTAGTATTTATAAATTCAATATTAACTAAAGAATTCTTTTGAATTTCTAAAGATAAAAGAATATTATTTAATAAAGAATAACAATTCGTTATCTTAAATCTTTTAAGTTTGTTTTGCTCTCGAATAATTGTACAAATCTTTTCAAAAGTAGTAATTTCGACAAAATTATTGGAAAAATCAATTATTAATTCTTGTAAATTATTTGCTATATTGCTTAAAAATTCTTGTTCAAATTTATTACTAATTCCATCAAAATCTAATGATAATGAATTTAATTTTGTTAAATTTGATGTGAAATTTTTAACATTAAAATTTTTAAACGTTTCACTATAAAATAAAGATGACGAAATATCTAATTTTTTGATGTTTTTACTTTGACGTAAAATTGATTGATGAAATATTGGAATACTATCATATATTTTAATATTAGAAATTGATAAACCTGAACAATATTTTATAAAACAACTATCAATTACGTAATCTATTTTAAAATAATCATAGTTTTCCAAATATTTCAGATATTCAAATAATGGTTTGTATTCTTCATCCAAATTAATATTATTAATCTGGTTTATTTCTAGTTGATTCTTCAATTGTAAAATTTCTTCTTTATTAAAACAAAAAATTAAGGTCGTGATTATCGAGTAATTTTCTTCAGTTATATTTATAAAAGGATTTGCATAAAGTAAAGGAATCGTTGATTTACACCAAAATCTATTAACTAATAAACAATTAAATAAAATTGAACGATTATTTTTAAGATGTTGTAAAATGTAAAAAATACAATCATCTGTTAAATAAGGTAAAGTCATTTTGAAAATTTAGGAAGGAAAGAAAGTTTTTTTACGGAGTATCGGAGTAAATAAGTCATTATAAGCCTAATTTTGGATATCACACGGTTGTACATAAATTTTGTAACATTCAAGTGAACCCTGTAATAGGTAACACTACCTGCTACCGTAATGATTTTCTCTGTTGTAGACCAAATCAAACCATGTCCCAAACCTTACCATCGGCCTAAATTAGGAGATCATCGTTGGTACAGTCTTAAGGCATTATTAGATTGGGCCGATAATTTAGACCGATGGTAAGGTTTGGAACGACATAGTCAAGTTTGGTCTACAACATCTCCAAAATTTTCTCGTTATGTATTATATCAAGTTGAACTTCGGTTCTACAATAATTCGTAACAGACATGAAAATTAGTTCTTACTATTATATTTCGTAAAAACAGGCCGATCTTTTTTTGATGAGACCTCGTCAATATTATTTATACTGTACATCTTGTACAGTACATCTGTCAAATTTAATACTGCCCATATATCAACTATTTTTCTTGTATAGAATTAAACAGCAATCCCACATCTTAGATGAATTATAGATGAATTTTTTTTATATAAGTAACGATAGAAAAAATATGTCCTGTAGTTAATTAATAAAATTGATATTTTTACCGATTGTTCTCTAAGCTATCTTATTGCACTATTCGTATATAATTTGAATTTCCAACTCAAATTTATCCTTTCCTAAAAATCATTGTATTGTTAACCGATTTGTGTATATTTTCTTCGGGTTTGGAACTGGCCGCTACAGACGCGCCGAGAGAGCAGTATCAGCAGATAATCTCTTATAACTTTTCTTTTATCACCCTTTTCCGGTGGTAGCAATATCTAAAGTTTGGCTAATTCTTTTATTGTCAATATCATCATAATTATTTAATATATTTCCAACGTATAATATGTAATTTAATTTATAAAAATAGAAATAATAACTATATATACTATATTTTAATGACTTGTCGATCAATAAGTACGATACTTTATTTAATTAACATAAAAATATTTTCAAATTAAAATATCGAATCAACTGATTTTTTTTTACATCATCCAATTTCTCTAAATCCAAATTTCAATGATTTTTTTTAATTGAGATTAATTGATTCAGTCGAGTCCATTATTTATCTATAAATGATTTAAGTGATTTAATAATACAATTTTCTACAATAATTTTGTATATTTTTTTTTCTTTCAGTTAGCGGCTGAATTTTAATTGGATAACGACAGTAAACCATGATTGTATTAATGCAGATGAAGATGAATTGGGCCGTTCCTAATTTTTTGTGGCGCAGTAGAATCGTTAGTTCAACAGCGTAACCTGATCAAAATTTCACTATCACGTGACTTTGGACCGCATTACGACATTATGCACTAACGTGTGAAAATAAACAATGACGAATAATATAAGCTTTTGCCCACTCGAAAAAAACTAAGTCCCTCAGATAAATATAGTTTGGGTGAACAGTAGAGGGTGTGATTCCTGTGATGAATATTTTTCACTTTCTCGTGATAGTGAAAATTTGATGGTGTTACTGGGGAAAATAAAAAACTTTATGCACGAAAAATCACGTGACATTTTTCATCACCGGCGTCCTTTCCATTTTTCATAAGTGTCTTGGAGTAACAAAATCCTACTCGTCACGCACTATCCGTCACATATGCGCCACACTTCAAGTTGCGTAATTTCGAGACATTTTTTTCAGGTTAGTTAACCGAACAACGTTCGGTCCATAACCAGCCAATCTTCTTTTCTTTTAGGCAAATTCTTCGATTTCACTTTCACATCTTTTTTTAGCCAGGTAGCATTTTTCATTCTTTAGAATCTTTAGGTTATTTGGATGTCCTCTTTCACTAGCAATTCGGTTATGGTGAGCTTTTTATGGTGGTTTCCTTTTTTTGTTTTGTTGAAATTTTATTTAAAAATTTTTAGATGATGAGATAAATTTTGCATAACAGCTTTTTTGTCTTTTATATTATTTAAATTGATTGTTTTTTTATTTTGATAATTGGATAGACTTCGAACCAGAGATTTTGAAATTTTTTTTTTTTTGAAAGGTAAGTTCGTCTAGTGATGTAATTTTTTATTAAATAAATTAAGACATTTCCTTTTTTTTTTTGAAATGTAGGACCACAATCTTTTAGGACCGGTGACTATTACCCCTACAAGTTGTGAATAGGAACAAATTGGTACAATTCTCATTCCAGTTTTTGCAGAATACATGTGCATGTGATTAAATAAATGTTGCTCTGGGCAATAACTTATTCAGCATATAAAACGATTCTATAGAATTCTTTTTTTTCCCTATGCAATATACATAAAAAGCAAACAAGAAATGTGTAAATCGTTCCTTTTTTGGATAATGCAGACTGGCATTGCCCTTGAAGATGATGCATAGAGCTAATAGTAACTATATCCCTATAAAAAAAAAATGTCCAGTTTTTGTTCAGAAATCGTCCGCCTATATTTTCCGGACAAAAACAGGATCTATAAACATCCGGAATATTGCAATATTCCGGACATTCATAAATAAGGAATTAGTCCAGTTTTTGCCATATATTTGTCCGTCATTTGTCCAAATTTTGATTATTCATAAATAAGTAATTTGATTATATGATTTACTTTATAGTTTTTTTAGCAGTATTATTTATTTATTCAAATTAAAAGCATAACAATAAAAATCATAGACTATTTATTATATTATAAAAAAAATAACTTTATTATAAATTAATCAATTAATACGATATGCCTCCATTAATATTATAATCTACTTTCATTAAAATTAAGATACAAGTAATTTTAACCTTGCTGAATAATTTTACTTAAGCATAAAAGAGTAGTTTCATTTGAATAAAGTGATGAACTTACATTCTAAAGTTGGAAAATAGAAAAGTAAAATTTAAAAATTAGTATTCAATTAAAAAATGCAACTTACTCTATGCATATCAGCGGGTTTGTTTCATTACCTATAATTATTGAATTTTGTTATATGAATAAAAATAAATGTTGCGAAGTTAATGCTTAGTATGATGTGCATATAATCCTAAAAAAAAAATTTAAATTTGTCGCAATTTTATTTCTGGCCAGAATTAACATAATTTGGCTGAACTTAATTCTGGCCAAAACTTTATAATATTATTTGCGACGGAAAAAAAGAATACAAAAGAATATGTATTCTGTAAAATATATGTTGCGTCATGCTGCGGTCTTTGATAATATTAATGGGTTAACATTAAGTGTAAATAAAAAATTGATCATCCAATTGCAAAATTGGTTCATATAAACAAAACATGATGACATAATACATATACAATTTAAGAATCATATGTAAGTTTGTATCACACTTGATTTCAAAAAAAATTTTTTCTAACACTAATTTCAAAATAACAAAATGGAAGAAGATAGTACTTATCCAACAAGTCGTTTTATTAAACTTTATGATAAAAAAAGAACTTTCTATTACAAAATCATAAAAGAGGGAAAATATCCTCTTACCAATCAACTTCATTACACCAGAAATCCAAAACATCCAATTCCTCACAATTATATTGTTGAAACTCAATATGGAAAAGCAAACCATATTGTAAAATGTTCAATTAATTATGTGGAAGGAAAACCTTTATTTAAAGTCAACTTTGGAGAAAATTTTGCGAAAGATGAATTTTGTGAATAATAAGAAGTTAATAAATGATTGAAAAATTCAAAAGTATTATGAGAAAAAGAAAAGTTATTAGTAATAAACCCGTAAACTACTATACTTCTATGAAGAAGGTAAAGGCAAGCCCGGTATAGGTTACTAAATAAAAAGAAAATTAAATGATATTATAAATATAAGAAATAATGAAATGTTATTATTTGATATATGAAAAATAATTTTATTACAATAAAAGAATAATATGAAAGATTATAAAAGATAATAATGAATTATATGAAATAAATGATGTAATAATGATGTAATATAAAAATAAAAAGAAATTGCGTAAGCATGTTGCGTAAACAATATAAAACGTAATAAAATATTTAATTGGAAAGAGAGAACATGAGTTCAATTACAAAAATGAATAAATAAAATAAAAATTATACTGCGACAAGTCATGTGTTAAAAGCGCAGTAAAAATCATGTGATTAAAACGCAGTAGAAAAATAAAATGTTGTACAAATCACGTGAGTAATGTAAATCACGTGATGAAGCGCAGTAAATAAAAGAAATAAGAGAAAGTATAAGTCACGTGATAAGGCGCAGTAAAAGAAATATATAGCTACCCTTAGGCAGAGGCGACTGATTAATAAAAATATAAATGAATAAGAAAATAATAGAAGAAATAGTTGTGTCGCCAGGGGCGTTATGTCAACAGAAATTTTAGTACGTTGATCGCTTAAAAATCCGTGGCTATCCAATTATAATAAGAAAATGTAAATGTATTATAAAATAATATACGAGAAATAAAATAATATGAAATAGATTTGAAATAAATATTTTGAAAGTTAATATAAGAAAAAGATTAAAAGTTATTAAAAGTTTAATGTTGTGTATAGAACTGGGAGAACCCGGTATAAATAAGAGCACACTGGGAGGACCCAGTATAAATAAGCCTTTGTTAATGATCATATTAGTCTGACACTGGGTGGCCCCAGTTATAAATAATCCCTAGCTTTGATCACAGTTTATTTGTGCAAGATATAGAAATTTTATAAATAAAATTGCGATTATAGATTATATTATAGAATGTATAGAGAAATTATAGAATCAAAGCTGGAACTTTGAAAATATTAGAATTTAAATTGTGTTTTAAAGAAGTAAAAGATAAAAATAGTAATTTAAATGATGTTAAGTTAATGATAAAATTTTATAAAATATAAATAAAAGTGAAATTATAAAATGTTTAAATAAATAAAAATGTCTGATATATACGATGAATTAGAAGAGATTAAAAGAAGACATGAAATAAAGAAACATAATGAATCAAAAGAAGAATATCAAGCAGATCCTTCATGCTTAAAATGTTATAGAACTGATGAAATAGAAATAAGAGATTGGTTTAAAAGATTTTGGAAAATTTTTCAAAAAGTAATACTGGAAGCAATGAGTTATAATAGAAACACATATACAAAATTAATGGAATATATAGTATTGACAAGAAAGGATGGAGAAGAAAGTTATCCATCAAGTAAAAAGAAAAGAAATAAAGAATTTGAGAAAATAAAAAAAAGAAGGAGAAAAACTGTTAGATATAATTGTAAGGTCAATTAGGTATAGAAATAAATCAGATTATAGAAAAATAGGAATTATATCAGTAATAAAAGTAATATGTGAACATTATATACTCAGTGAAGATAACGAGTTCATATTAGATGATCAAACAGAAGAGAATTTGTTAGGGAATAAAGAATTGTTGAAGTATAGATATATAATAGAAGATGATGAATTGGATATAAAATTTGAAAAATTTGAAGAATGGTTGGAAGAAATAGAATTAGTAACTATTAAGAATAAAGGATATGGTAATATGAGAAATTTTAAAGAAATATTACATTTAGAAGAAAATATTGCAGAAGAAGAAAATAGAGAGAAAATCAAGAAGTTTCAGAAAAGTATAACATATCAATGGTGGGATGGAAATAAATATCCAAAACCATGGATGAACGATGATTTAACAGATAAGATAATAGAGAAAATTGTAGAAACAAAAGGTTTTGTTGAAGAACAAAGTGACGTAGGAGAACTAGAAAGTTCAGATGATGTGGGAGAATCAAGTTCAAATGAAGGAGACGAACATATAGAAAGAATATACAGAAATTATTGGTTAAAGAATGGTTGTAAAATTGATATTGAAGAAATAAGATGAATAATAAATTTTAGAGTAGAATATGAAATAATAAAAACTAAAGAATTTATGAAATTTTACAAAACTATTGAAGAATTAGATGACAAAGGAATAGAAGAAGAGTTAAGAATATGGCATTATATGTATACAATAGAATGTCCAATGTGTAACAAAATAATATTAAAGAAAGAAGCAATAAAAGCGGTAGAATATAATAAAGAATTTATAGAAAGAATATGTAAAAGTTGTTATGAAAAAGAATTAGAAAATGTAGAAGATGAGAATGAATAAGATGATGAAACAGAAATAGAGAAAAAATTAGAACAGTTAAAAAATCTAATCAAAATTTTAGAAATTAAAGTTTCTGATGGAGAATTATTAAGATTAATAAGTATGGGATATAGAGATGTTGATATATTAAGTGCAGACTTTATAAGAAAATTTCAAGAATATAAAAATGAAACAGAAAAAGAAATAAGGAAAATATTAGAAGAATATTTAAAGAAATTTGAAATTGAAGAAAGTGAAGAAGAAGTTGAAAAAGAAAATGATGATACAAATGATTCAGAAAAGATTGGAGAAATATTAGATCCAGAAGAACATGAGATTTGGGAAGAAAATACTGAAAGTTTTGATGAGAATGAATTTGAGAGCGAAAATGAAAATGTTATAAATACAGAAGGTTTTAGTTTAAGTCAAAATTCAGACTTGAATAATTCATTGAATATTGAAGATTCTGATAGTGAAAGTGAAATATCTGATTATAATTTACAAGATTTATTTCAAGAAAATTTATTATTAAACATGGCAACATACGTTATTTAATTTTAATATCCTATGGGTGGCGTGTCACATTTTTGGTGCATGCTCCGAGAATTATCAGCACATTTTGGGATTCAAGCTACATATGAAAAAGTAAAAGAAAAATATTGGTGGAAGAATATGAAACGAGATGTAGAAAAATATGTAAAAAGTTGTGATAATTGACAAAGAAGAAATAATCCACAAGGATTACATGAATTACAACCAATAGAAGTAAAAGAACCTTTTCATATGATTGGAATAGATGTAATAGGACCATTAACAAGAACAGAAGAAGGAAATAAATATATAGTAGTAGCAATAGATTTCTTTACGAAATGGCCAGAAGCAAAAGCAATAAAAGAAGCGAATGCAAAAGAAATATCAAAATTCATTTATGAAGAAATAATTTGTCGACATGGTCACATGGATGTCCAAAGAAAATACTTACAGATAATGGATCAGAATTTAATAATCAATTAACTAAAAATCTTACCAAAAAATTTAATGTTCAACATAAATTCTCAACTCCTTATCACCCTAAAACAAATGGATTAGTAGAACAATTTAATAAAACATTAATAGAATCATTGGCAAAATTAGTAAAAGAAAAATTAACGATATATAGAAATAGAAAATATGAAGATAAAAATTGGGATCAAAGAATAGCACCAATATTGTTTGCATATAGAAGTAAAATACAGAAATCAAGTAAAATGACACCATTTTATTTGACTTATAGAAGAAGAGTAATAATACCAAATGATGAAGAAGTTAAAGGAATTACAATGATTAAAAGAATAGAACATATAATAGAAGAATTACCAATAAAAAGACATGAAGCAAAGAAGAATATTAAAAAAGCACAAGAACAACAAAAGAAATATCATGACAAAATTGGAAAAAAAAAACAAAAATTTCAAATAGGAGATAAAGTATTATAATTTAAAGAAGCAAAATACAAAACACATACAGGAAAACTAGAAGAAAAATGGAAGGGACCATATTATATACATGAAGTAATAATAAATGAATCGTACAAAATTAAAGAATTAAATGGAAGAATTTTAAGAAGACCACTCAGTGAATGGAGAATTATTAAAAGAATACTTTGATAGAGAAATATTTGAACCATATATAATAATATAATATGTTTGAGACCCGAATTCAATTCTTAATTTATGGGACATAAATTTTTCAAGAGGAGGATAAATGTAATAACCGAAAACACAATAAAATAGAATAAGGATAAATAATTAGCCGAAGGATAAATAATTAACTGATGGGTAAATAATTAGTCAATAAAATTATATTTATAGTTTAGTTTAGTGTAACGAGATAGTCATATGATAATAGATCTTCAAATTTTATTAGAAAAGATAGTAAATATTAGAAATATTTTTTTTAAAATATATAAATACAAGTGGATTTCGATAGGAAATTCAGTAGTCAATTTTTGGCTCAATAAAAATAATATTAAAATATTAATTATTAAAATTTATTCAAATATGAATATACTCATTTATAGATATTATTCGAACTCAACACGTCGGTGGCAACATACGTTATTTAATTTTAATATCCTATGGGCGGCGTGTCACACCCCATATTACCATATACTTATTTATATATTTACTTGGAGCTACGCCAATATCGGTGTATAGCAGATCAATTCTATGAAGAAATTGTTTTTTTTCCATACAGAGTAAGTTATAAAAATAATGAAAAAAACTTCCAAAGAGATTGTAGAAATCATTCAAAATTTTTCATAAAGAAATTCTTTGTCCAACGTGAATAAATTATAAATAATTAAACTTCCTGCGTAAAAAACATAAAAAAATTTTTGCAATTCTTATCAAAAAAGTTTTTTTATCAACAATGAATGGTCGTAAGAACTGGTCATTAGCGCCATATCATAGTATCATACCAATATTAAGCATAATAACATAATGATTTCATTAGAAATCTAATTATATTTTGGCCAAAAAATGATTAAACGATTTAATTTTTTTTATTTGATAAAATTATATTTGTTACAATTTACTAT